TGAAACGTACGAATCTCTCAAACGACGACGAAGACATGAAGAACGACGATTGATCGACGAACTGGAACTCAAACGGTCCTGTGTGAGGCTGCCCCACATTGCCAACAGAACACGATGTTCGACGGAAAATTCGTCACTTCGTCAGAGAAATCCTTCGCGCTACCAAGACCAACAACTTGCAGGACGAGTTCACAAAGTTGCAGGGAGACCGTCCAGGTCACTACGCGAGGGGGGAAGCCACCCTCTACAAAGGATTGGTGGAAAATGTTTGGCTAAGAACCTGCCACACGAAAGAACGTCTGCGCAGTGCAGCGGAAGCACTCGCGATGTCGCATGAGACATATAAGTTCTTGATCATCGCAGAGGCGGCGACCGAAAGCTCAAGGAGCACGTTCTACGAGGAGGATATCGAAGGACTGCCTATGGAGCCAGTGTCTGTGAGTGATTACGGTCCGTAAGGAGATTGACTTCTTGGACGAGATGCTCCGGTGCATGGAAAATGAAATGATGAATGCAGAAACCTCAGATTGGGAACGAAGACCATAGGAGTGTGTTCACGGACTTGAAAGAAGCAGTCGCTGGACTGCAAAGGAGCATGGAAGCGAAAATGGGAGATCTCCAGGAAGAGATTTCAAAACAAGGAAGAAGGGTCACCGAACTAACCAGTAAGATGGATGCATTTGGAGAAGATATCCAGAGAATCAAAGACTCCCTTCCGAAAGTGGAAGATAACGACGGAGGTGAACGTCCCTCGACAGACAATGAGAAGAAAGACACCAGTACACCTCCATCGCGCACTGCTGTAGAGGAAGCGCCTGTCAAGCCGCCATCCGACGGCGAAGTTGCTGAGGATGTACTCGAATTCGAATATGAGGACGTTTATCAAGATATCGAGGACGGAGTCCCAGAAGAAGAACGAAATGCGGACGAAGAGAAAAGGATGAGGTGCATGTGACCGTGAAGCAAGAGGCGCAAATTACTGTCGCGAATGGAAGAACTGAAACAAAAACTTCACTCGAACGACAAGTACCGCGAAGAATCATTGCTTTTGTCAACATTCTGAGGGCGGAAGAGACCTACATTCGTTGCGGCTTCTGTAACGAGAAAGGACAGCACTACAGTGACTGTTGCCCTCTTTATAGAGATGTTGATGCGCGTGAAAGACGAGTCTGGTGCCGAAATTGCCTCGACACTCTACACTCTACTGATAGATGTTGGCGACGAAGGATGAGGTGCAGATATTGCGGTCTAGATTCTCACCATAGCGCGTTGTGCTCACTACCGGAGAGAATCGAAAGAAACGAGAGCGAATACCGAGACCTTTCGGCGCAGCTGGCAGAACTGGAAGATCAATATGGAGGACCATCTTCATGAGCTGGCCGGCAGTATCACAACTGTGATCAAATATAGCTTAGAATGAGTCATGCTTCTTAGTTTCATGTATATCTTTTCGCTTATAGGATGTAACTGTTTTCCCATGCTTTACAGTTGCTTGAATTCTTTTCCTCCTTATCTGATTGAAATGGTAGATTTTCTCAGGAAACAACGCATAATGTATACATTCTTTCGTAGGAAAACATACTTAGTCCGCATAAAAGAGGAAGCGCCGACGCTCGATTCGCTTGGGTGCATTGTAGGATCAGGTGCATTTTTTCCTTGTCTCTTACATTTATTTTTGCTCTTTGCTTAGTAGTTTCATAGAAATGCTCTTGAGATTTCCTCATCGTTTCTAGAATCGTAGTGTATGTTCGTTTAATGGTTATGCCTCTTTTATGTTTAATTACCCAAGTTTGAGGTTCGAATAAATCTCAACGATCAACCGCGTGGCAAAGTGGGCAATATTACAATTGGTCAGACATTTGTAGGTGAGCGGGCGCGGTGGGTGTCCGGGTCGGCATGTTGCACTCGATAGGGCGTTATACTTTCCTCGGGAAAGGCACTCTAGAGCACCTGCTCAGGGACTCGGAATTCTGCGCTGCTAGGCGTGTTCATTCCACACGTCTTAATATTATCGTGCCCTTTCCACAATTCGAACTCTTGGAGTTCTCCCAAGAATGTCGATTGCCTGCGGAAGTTTCGCTCCTGGACAGGTTCGAGCCCTGCAGGGGATAACACACCACTACAATGATATGTGATTAGTTGATCAGCTATTTCTACCACACTGTATCTAACTTTGACAGCTCTAAGAAATATGACCATTACTATGACCAGTCAGAATCGCTGAACTCTTTCAGTGTTGGCATTGTTCATCTTCGGTCTGTTCTTGCTCATTGCAATCGTCGTGGTCGTCGTGGGCTCGCTCAATGTTCACAACTGTCCAGTGAATAATATGATTCCCATATGGTTGATCGTTTTGGTGGTGTCAGCTGCTTGCACTACATACTATATTTTGCATCGGAATAGTGGTCAGTTACAATGCTAAGTTTTTAGCTGTACGGGAGTACGGGAGTCGCTATTTCCAGCATGGTTTGACGGCAAAGTCATCGGTGGAAGGAAAACAACCGTCCGAGGGGGAAGCAGACGAATGGATTGTTAGTTTTTAGCTGTATCATCGATTAATTTTACGACATCCCAAGAACTTTAGGCGCAAAGGGCTGCATTGCGGTGGATAGATGAATTGGACGTTTTCTAGAATTCCAAGCCAGACTGCAATTGGTGGGGTTTATCGCTTAGCCGCAATGCAGTCATTTGCGTTCATAGTACGTGAAGGTAGCCTCTGACCTGATCTAATATAGAGTCCTCATCGCTGCGAATCTGGGGCACATCAGGGAGAGGGTTGAGCGCGGCGCGAACCCCTTTTTATCAGTTCTTGTCAATTGCCATCTTTAATGATCCGCTCCAAACCCAGATTTTTCTTCCTCATTAGCGCGCCATGTCTGTTTGCCGTCCTAGAAGATTCACCCATCACTGAGAATATCCTGACTTCCAAAGTAGCCTCATAGCAACCGGTAGTTACCCCTAAGCAGCTTTGGCAGTCATCATGAAAGAAGTAACCGTTTGCGTTCATAGTACGTGAACCTGGCCTCTGACCTAATCTAACATGCAGTCCTCGCTGCAAATCTGGGGCGTGTCGGAAAGCAGGATTTAGCGCGACGCGAGCCCTTTTCCAGCAGTTCTTGTTGCTTGCTGGCGCCAACGCCCCGCTCCAAACTCAGCCCCCATTTCCTCTTTAGCGCGTCACATCCATTTGCCATCCTACAAGAGGTGTTCCATCAATGAGGAAGGTCCTATGGCGGGTTATGATCTCAAAGTGCGATCAGCGCGGAGACTACTTTGAAGCAGCCCTGACAGCTCATCACGAAAGGAAGGTACAGTCTTGTACGCTGCAGCGCGCTCGGTGCATTCCACAATAAGGCTCGGTTTGAGGCGGCGCCTGCTCGTTGCACCAGTTGATGTCACTTTCCCGCTCCAATTTCAACGCGCCAAACTCCACCATCCCTGACACGCCCCAGCATTTCTGGCATGTTATTGAGGAGAAATTGGGCTACTTCTTCGAAAAAAGTACTTTTACAAGGTGTAGCTGCAATCACGGGTAAAATGTTAGAACTAGATTTAGTGTAGTCAATCTGAAAACTGAAAATAAATGACGATCCTTCCCGGCATCGTTGCCATAGGAAGCAGCGAAGAACTTGAATGTTTAAGTACAGAGGGACAGAGGGTTTTACCTAATTAACTTAATTAAGGACCGAATCAAAGGCGACCTGCTCAAAATACGTGCAATCTTGGAACTCTTCGTTTGCATAAATTTGATTTTTTGGATTATTTGGTCAGTGCAAATTTTTATTGCTTAGTTTGAACAATTTAATAAGTTTGCGACTTAGTCACACTTTGCGACTGCAGAGTACATGAATATCGTTCGAGAGTTTCGAGAGAATTGGCGTTTCCAGGGAATTCCCGAGAAGAAAAGTATACAGGGGCGGGGGGCAAAAAAAAGTCATTCCGGCCGAGTCACATATGAGCGAAGTTTTCGCAGCCCAGACAGAGGAAGTGGATATGAGTACCAGGGCGGAAGATACCCAAGATCTTCCTCTATAAGCAGGAGCCGGCTGCCGCCATTCACCTTCATGTACACCAAAATATGAAGTCATCTCCAGTCGCGGCCTGAGTGGAGAACGCCTTTGGAATTCACGTGGCCTCCAAACAGCTGCGGAACTTCTTGAATGGAATCACCCATGGATAGCTACCTGGAGACCAGTACTCTTGATCTGCAAGACCTCAAACATCGAGCAGCTCCGGCAACGTCGCTACGGTCCAGGACATCATCTTCACCCCATTCACCAAGGCGCGGGTTGATGGTGTGGACCGGCCGTACCTGGAATGGATGAACCGATATTTTCTTCGTGGGCCCCAGACTGAGGGTGTGCGCTGGTGGCTACATCGAGCAACTCGAGGAGAATATCCCATCTTCATGTCGTCGCCCGTACCTTCTTGGAAACTTTGTACTGCTACAGGATTGGGTGACAACACATTTAATCGAAGGGCGTTGGAAAAACTTTCGCCTACTTGGAATGGAAGAACGTTGAGTACCTGGAAAAGATGGAGTATTTAAGCGGGGGTCCTGAACTAAACCCCCTCAATTACTCGGTTCGGGCGGAGCTCAACAGGGTGGTCTACAGTGGCGGAGAAATCAACTCCGGTACCCACTCACTTTCGCGCCCGAATCTCTCGATGGCGCTCCTCCAGAAGGCTGTGGCGAGTATCATTATAGTATTTAATGTGCTCTTTAATATGGTAGTAAAAATGTCCGATAAAAATTTAATAAAGTGTAACTTATAGCGCCTTGAAAGTCATGGAGGCAAAATGACTTTTTTTGGCCCCCTATAGATACCGATATGGCATCCTGCAGGAACATGGGGATAGTTTAAAGATGATGGCAGCTTAGGAGAGTAGCAGGACCCCGCATTGAGCTGCATGCACAGCGACCATTAGCTGCGAGGGTTCGTCAGCGTCAGCGACTAGGAAGGTATTGATATCAAGTTACCGAACGTCAGCGTCCACCAGCGTCCATCAGCGTCCACCAGCGTCCATCAGCGTCCACCGGCGTCCGCCAGCGACCATCAGCGTCTCGAGGGACTAGGAGTGGTCATCGATCTAACGACGAGCAGCAGCGTTTACCAGCGCCTATGAGCGAGCAGCAGCGTCCAGGGATGGAGAGCATGGGGCGATAGAGGAAGATATGACACGGTATCAGACAGCTGGCACCTCCTATCGCCCTATACTCTCTGCCGTAGTCTACCCTCCTATGCCCCGATTGTCGACAACTGTGCGCTATCCTAATATCACCCGCTCTCCATCCTGGATGCTGTTGGTCGCTGGTGGACACCGTCTCAACGCATACACAACCTTACTAGTAGCTGTGTACTATATTGGTAAGTACGGCACTGCGTCAATTGTGGTTGATGAATCAACTTCACTGCTCTGCATTTCAACGGTATCACCTGAAAGAATCGAAGCCGTTCTTCACTGCCCGACCAAATCTAATACTCTACCATAAGTGGAAATCAATGCAGTACTAGCGAAGTTGCAAATGTTGATTGTAAAGCTCAACTTTCTTCTTTCAAGGTTAATTCTTGGTACTTTCTGGACGTACAGTGTCAGCAAAATTGTTACATACGACAAACAAGATGGTTCGACTTACTGTGATCATCTTACCTATGTATTGGCTTTTGTCATTATCACCGCCATTTGGGTGATTATGGTAATGCGGCTAGTCTATTGCTGTGTTGCTGCGTTGTGGACTCGCAACGCTCCCCCTTCTACATCCAAAGAAAAGGAAGAAAAGGTTGATGAGTAGACAGTTCATTCCCAAATATCACTTATTCAATTGAATCACAAAATTATTGTATTGAATGTTTTCACCATCAGTTGCTACTGTTTAGCAAATCGTACTGGTTCACTTGAGATTTGGACCATCATTATACTGACACTGTTTTCTGGGATATAAAGATTTAAGCATCTGCGTGGTCGCGTCATATTCTGATTTTCCGATTGCCTTCAAAACATAGAATAATCACGTAAATGTTCTTGAACAGTGTGTTGAAGCTCTTGACTTGTTTAACCACTTTATTGGCAAGCTTTCGGCATATAATGCCTTCGTCAGGCCTTAAATTACAATTTCAAACATATAATAGCTACAACGAGCAATGCGTAAAACCTTACATATACATATAACAAGTCAAGAGCTTCAAGCACACTGTTCAAGAGCATATTGGATGAAGCTCAGAGATAGCAGCATCTTGTCATAATCACGTAAATGATGAAGGAAAGATGTACCGACCAGAAGGTGCGTCCTGGCCCAAGAAGCGGCTAAATGTTGGCGTTGGTGTAACGCAGGTCCCCGATCCCAAAAGTGTCTCTGACGTCATACAGCACTT